GCTGCTTTTCTTAATGAGGATTTCTTTCTTTTCAATATGGCGAATGAAGTTTGGTAAAATTGTTTTTAAAAAGATCTCCTAGTGAGAATTGGAAAAAGAATTTGAATTTGTTTACGGTTAGGGATTGGGGTTGGGTTTAATTCCTAATCAAGTCAAGGTGGTAGTCGGCTTCCTTGCTGTCATATAAAATCTTTAATCAAACTTTTATTGCTTGATGTTTCACATTTATATTTTACACTCACTTATTCTACATATAAACCATAACAAATTCTATATATAAACTATAACGGTAACTTTATTAGAATACAACAAAGATTTGCATACAAATATATAGGCAAGGAATCTTATACTTTGCCATTACTAACTGTGTGGCAATTGAATTACATGCTTATCGTTGGCTGGCGGTTGAAGGATTGTTTTTTTTATTAAGATAATTGTTACATTTTGTACTGGTATAAGTCTGCCTTTAAAATTATTCAATTCAGGAAAACTTTTCGAAGTTGTTACGTTTTTTCTATCTCATACAAAAAGGGTTTTTGAAAAGGCTCTCTCTCAGATATACGCGTTAGTAATTTTTAAATACGTCGCTTATCATAGCGATTTAGAAAAGGAAAGTTTTAAGATTGTTCTGGCTGTTGCAGCTTCTTAGGATGTATATTCTTCTGCCTCTTTCCTGATTTTGTAGTCGTCTTCACGTTTGACACTGTATGTAGATAAAAGGGAGCGATATTAAGTTAGGTTCATTCAAGGTTTCAATACAAAAGTAAACTGTAATTGCTAATATTGAGTCGAATTGCACTAAAGATCGAATTAGCAACTATGTTCATAATAACTGGTGCTGACGTGTTTTTATTATCATAATTATTTAGTTTCGCTCTCCTTTAAACGTATTTGTAATTAAATAAGAGTGTAAGGCTATATTAGGGCATGTCAATTTCTACTTCTAGTTTGAATGGTTTCTTAACTTTGTTTGCTTAATACAGGCTTTGATTATGTTTGATGCAATTGAAAAAAGATATGAATTACTTTACTAACTTCAAATTAAACAAATCTATTATGTGAACAAGAAACATCTGGTTGCCAGCTTGTATTCAGAATGGTACCGCATATTTCTAGTTTGCCTAATAAAGGGCAAGTTTGAAAAGTTCCTCTTTTTCAACTCTTTTTTTTTATTTAGTTTAAGGTTGTAGTTTCTATCTATTGTCTAGTTGTAAAAGTAATAAACATATCAACTTACCTTTCGCTATCAGCCATCTCATAAGCACTAACGTACTTGGGCAGCGACATGCCAATTTTTTCGAGTCTTGATGAAAACACCACGGCGGCATTTCGATCTTCTGGCAGCTGCTCCTTACAGAAGTAAATCTAGAAATATATATTTTGGCATTTAAATATGTATTTTGACATTTTATTTTGTCTAACAGATTTTTGTTTTGTTTTGGTCATTCAATGG